ACTTGCGGCAAAATTTGTTCCTCGTTTGATGACCGAACAACAGAAAGAAAAGCGTGTGGACGTTTGTCGGTAACTCCTTGAACAATTCAGTGACGATGAAACATTCATTCAAAGGATCATAACGAGAAACAAAAGCTGGCTTTACGCCTACGACATTGAGACAAAAGTTCAATCATCACAATGGATTTGCTCCAAGAAAGCACGTCAGCCTCAGTACAATGTCAAAGTGTTGCTGACTGGTTTTTTTTTCGATAATGGTATGCATTTTGCCTCAAGGTGAAACTGTCAATCATGTGTACTATCAAGGCGTTCTACAACGGTTACGTAAAAAAAATCCGGAAAAGAAATCAGAGTTGTGGCCAGATAACTCATGGTTCTTGCACAGTCAGCTTTGTCTTTCGTTAGTTTTGTGCAAAAATCAGATTACTATCCTCCCTCACCCTCCTTACTCCCCAGACCTGGCTCCTTGCGATTTTTTCTGATTTCCAAGAGTAATATCTATCCAGGACTGCTTTGCGATATTAAAACATCGCTAAGAAAAGTGTATGAATAGAGGAGGGGAGTACTTTGAAGGAGACAAGGATCAATAATATAAAATTAATAATAAAGTTTAAGAAAAATAAAGTTCGGTTGTTTTCTGAACAGACATCGTACTTTGATGCCTAAATTCACTTTTGTTTTGGGTTCCATTAAATTTTGGACACCTGGTATAAATGTGTATATGTATAATATTACCAAGGTAATTTTTGTTAAATAGTAACGTTCTATCAAGCCTTTATTAATATTCCGACTACCATTACCAACAAGACTCCTTCATATAGACATAAGAAAAATTATGCAGAAATTGATAGTGCAAACAAATTTGTACCTAAGAACCAATATGTATTTAATTTAAAATATGTGGAACTGTAGGTAGAACTAGTTTTGATGAGGTGAAAAACAAATCATCTGGAACACCACATTCATCAAATTAACAAGTCAAGGAAGTGAAGGCACTCCAGGTGAAATAACTTTGCGAAAAACTGTAACAGGCGTATATTTTTAAAATATACGTGTGCACGTACATGAGAGATTAGTTCATCGTTATGGTTGTTGCGAAACATCTGAAGTGCATCCAATCGTGGTTACATGTCGGACATTGACCACTGGACGGGATACTAATCAAGGAATGGGTATATTTATGGAAAACAGAAAAATATGGACTTCTGTTGTAATTATTGATGGGCTTTGTGGATTAACTTAACACTTCGTGCATTCCCTTTGACTTTATGAGGGAATATACCAAGAACAGGAAGGAAACGGCCAACAGCACAATTACAAGCTAATGGTTTGAATGTTGATAAAAGATGTTATTAAACATTTATTTAATTATTAATGTAGGTAGGTTTAATTAGATATAGATACCTATAAGTGTATCGCCTCTATTTGTTCTGTACTGTATTTTTTAAGAACTCTTTTCCACAAATTCGATGATATTATCCCGAGGTTCAAGGGATGAAAAGGTACTTTAGTCCCGAGATATATACGCTATTTTTATAGGCACTGAAATACACTGTGACTTGGGATAACCAAACTTTTATTAGTTACAATTATTATAGTTTTGATAAGTCAGAAACGAGTACAATTACCATACATATTACATTAGTCTAAGGACGGCATGAAAAACAGAAAGAAATAACCACTATTCTTTCTTCAGAATAATATAGTGTGGAACACGAAAATAACTAAAGTCATAGTAAAATTAAATAAGGTCTATAACTGAAATTAGCAAATAACATCTTCGTCAAAATACAAGAAGCAAAAAAAGTTATTCCAAACCATAGAACATTATACATCCACAGAGTCTGCATTTGTAGAAAACTTTCAAAAAAGTTTTTTAAGTAATAGGTACATTAACATCTTATGTAAAATATTAACCCACATTTCTTATTGAAATATAAGAAAAGCGTAACCGAAACAACATCAAACGATTCATAAAACAAATTAAATTCAATTAAAATGTTTAATTATAGAAATGACTTTTGATGATTACACAGCCACACAAAATTTCCTTGGTAACATCGGCACACAAAAGGTGGTCTGTCCTACGAATGAAACCTGCCAGTCTATGTACTTTTTCCTTTTGGTTATTTTATGTCGGTCTCTTTCTGGTACTATCGCTCTTTACCCCAGAAACAGAATCTGCCACAGAAAATACTCCACCATCCTCCAGATTTTTTTTAAATTGCCGAAAATCAAAAATACCAGAAAACCACCTTTAAAACTTAAAAATCAGCTGAATTTCTACATTTAATTGATGCTCTGCTTGGGCAAAGCCCTGAAAATGATTCGATGTACCAGTGAAACTCATTGTATATTTTGGATATTGGAAGACTCAGTCAGCCTTTGCAATCTTTTAGCTTCAAGTGAACTCAGAATTCAGAAAATTACTCTTAAAACTTAAAAATCAGCTAAAGTTTTACATTCGGCGAATTCATATCACAAACTCAAGCCATGGAGACAGCCATATCCACACACCCTATGCAGCAGACAAGTGACTGACGCACGTTTACACAATAGATTAGGAATCCAAATTCCTAACTCATAGACACTGCACATAGTAAGACATTCTCACCCTATACCCCAGGCATATATACAGAAAGGCAAAATAAGTCCTGTAAATCGGTCTATCCTGTTGGATACTCCCTGAATTCCGAAAATCTGCTACAATTTTACATTTAGTGGGTTTCTTTTTAGATGAGGCCCTGAAAAGTACTCTATCTCCAATCACTATATGCCTGAAAACCTTAAAGACAGCTATAAGTGAGTCCAGAATAAAACTACACGTAAAGTGGTTAGACTTTTTCCTTTTTTTATCTCTTTATTAAGTGATGAAAGGCATGTTTTAAATTACCCGTGAATTTAGATCATTAATGGTTATGAATATTTAAATTTTTCGAAACGTCAACAACTTTTTGATATGAGCAATATACAGTGATGTGCTTTTTTATTTAGTATGTATTTGTCTCACTGTGAGATTTTTAATTGGGCAAAACTACCCTTGACTGATCCTTTTTGGCGTTTTTTATTTTTGTTGTCAACAGATAGTAAAATATACAAATATATAAAAAAATCACTTGCTAACTTACTAAAAAGTTTACCTGGCACTTTTTGAGCTATTATTCTTTATATGGTTCTTTATATAATTTTCTATATCTATATACAATATACATATTAGACAAGTAGATAATACTTTTAGCTCTAGTTTGAGTTTTTATAATACCAAGCTAAGCATACCCTTGACTAAAGATTTTTAAATTATTTTTCTGTCGTTTAGAAATCATTTGATAAACTTATATTACTTTTGTATATTCAATATGGCCTGGTTGTGAACATTTCTTGTACAAGTCATTCAGAATGTAGGTATTACATAATTTTTGAGTTAGTTCTAATCACTGTTTGTTTTTTTTCTTATTTTTTATTATTTATTTTTCATTGAAACTAAAATATTTCTTTAATAACTGAATTACTGGATCTCTAATATAGGATCTTGACAAAAGATTTACAATATCCATTCCTTTCCCGGTGAAAATTTAAAATTACTTATATCATATTTTCATAATTTTGTTATTAATCGCTCTAAATGTATTTTATCTATTCTATATCTTTTTTCATCGTATTTATTAATGGTTAATTATCAGAAATTACGGTAAACTTTCGACCACATATTGTACTCCAAACGTGACTGACAACAATTAATTCTTCTTTAACCTAATATTTTTTTGAATTGATGTCAAACTCCTTGATGGGTTTATTCTATAGAACATCCTAGACTACTTTTAGATGCATCGCATTGTATAACAATAGCTTTAGTAGAATCAAAATTTCCTAAAATTGGTCATTACTTGTAATTTCTTTAATTGCATTTATTATGAAATTAAGTATCTTAAATTTAATCCCAGAGAAAAACAACAATGAATTTGCAAACCATTACGACAAATATTAAGTCAATAGTAGGCAAATTCATTGTTTTTAATATAGTGAACAAATGAAAGTTTAGACGAATAATAAAATCATAACAATAAAATATAGGAAACTATTTAAAAAGATAAGAATAAAATAAATGTATTATTTCCAAATATGTACTAATTAAATTGAAGATATAAATGTAGTTTTATTATTCTATCCGTTTTTCAACAAAATACTTACATACTCTTTATTAATTTTTTTACTAAATTATAGAAAAATGTTTTGATGCGTTTTCAACCAAAAATATACTACTCTTTTAACATTGTCATCATATAGTCTATAGTATATATAGTATATAGTGCCTTCTCAAAGTTCTCGGATTATGATAGAAACAAGGTTGTGGCTGAAGAAGAACGCTGCAAGATTATAAATCTGCGTTTATTGGCATTGTTTCACTTTTTCCTAGATAGTGTTCCAAGTTAGGTCTATCGACATACTGGAATAATATGGAATAGATCTTTGTAGCGGAAGATTAACTGAAGACGATAGTCTTCTCCTTTGTGAAGTTCCTTTGTCCTTTGTTAATATAGTGTGTTTAAGAAACACCCCTCTATAGTATACAAAGATGTTTCAAAACCAACCAATAGTATTTTAATTTTATATATTTTATAAAAAAAAGAGTTATAACGAATAGAAAGCTAAAAGATTATACCGACTTTTCATATTAATAATTTGAAATGGTACAGGTTTTTAACATCTGTAAAGTAATTTATATTTATATCTGATGTTTCTAAAATCTTCTAGTAATACTGCTCTATATGTATGTGAATGCGTATTCGGTTCCCTAACGACACTTATTATATACAACAATAGAGAATAAATGTGTGCAATTAAATATGTACATTTGCTAATTCCATGCCTTTTGTTTCAGTGAGAGTGATATCGAAAACAACGTTACCATCAGCCCCAGAAGACACGGTGAAGAAACAGAGAACCCAAGCATTAAAATGTAGTCACGTTATCGTCACATTCATATTACAAACACCACTGGAATGGATAATCGTTGTAAAAAGTTCAAAAATGTTATAAGAACATTTTGTGGATATTTTATAAAAATCAAATTTAAAAGCAAGCGATGCTTCCCAAGGTTTCATTACCTTTTCGCGGTGTTGTTATATAGTGTTATTTCTGTTAAAGGTAACAGGCCTCCTAGGTTCTTAATAGACGGACAAACTGAAATTGTTTTAAGACTGAAAGAAGGTGTGGATACACCAGTAGGTAAGGTTTATAACAAAATAATTGGAATAATAGGTAAAAATCGTCTATTACTGTAAACTATATGTGATCGGCTAAAATTCCGTTTATAACGGTGTCTATTGTTCTCAGTAACAATAGACTAGACAATGTATTTGGTTAACCAAAATTTCAATCTATTGTTTTTATTTTTGGATACATTACTCTGATATATTTTATGATGTCATGTCACTAGCCTCCGATGTTGAACTAAACCATGCGATAGCAAAAGTGAAAGTGGAAATAAATTAGAGATGTAATTCACTCAGAAAAATTGCTAGCTTTATAGTTAACAATGGTGTTGTGACAAACTATAAAGGTTGATTATACCTATTAAAAGAAATAAAAATAAAATGAACAACAGAACATATTTCTAGATACAATTCCTTCCGAAACAATCTTAAATCAGTTACCTAAGAATAATTAGAATTGGATACTATAGCCAACTAAAGCTTTGCTTATTCGTAAATAAAAGTTTAAAAAACACAATAATGTTAGAATCACCATTGTCACTATATCTTAGGTGATTCCATGAAAGCTAATCGTTTTTCTCTAATATTCCAATTGTTTTAGATACGTAATTATGAAGATATTCTATAAATTACTTGGTCATATGTTTAAATTAAATAGTACTTAGTTGTGCGCAACATTAATTATGTTGTACTTATTGGTTTTGCTTCAAACAATGCTATGGTTTTTGAGCTTCTAGTCGAGAGCGAAGTAATTCAGGAAAAAAGTCAAAATATAAAAGTTCTAATTGGAAATGTATTATCTGTAGTTATTAATTATTATTATTATATATATTCAACTAGACTGAAAAGAAATTTTTTAATAAACTAATGACCTCTTTCAATAACATTTTATTAATAGCTGAATGGCCGCAAATTTTGGTTATAATTTTAAAAACAGGCAAAAGCTGTAAATGAATTCGGATGTAAAACTATGCTTATGAGTTCACAGAATGATACCGCAATAATATTTCAAGGAAGCAAGTGGAAAACTGCATATAGAAATGCATACGAGTTAAAAACCATAGAACAGTTGTTAAGTAACAATGATTTAATGCTCAATTATTTCAAAACACTTACTTACAAATTTTGGGTCAATCTATCTTTAATAATATTAAAGATAGATTAAAATTGCTTTATGAATAGATGCGACTGAGTCACAGCGATGCTTTGGTAGGGTCACCACTAAAGATGCCGACAGTGAAGATCGGCGAAACGTTTTGAAGCATTACATGTGACCAGTTGCAGAGACCTCTACAGAAAGTCAGAAGACCATAATTATCTGATAGGTTCGCTTCATAACGACCTTACAACCAACAATAAGAACCGGAATGAGCATCAGAGCGGCCTAGGGCTCCTGAAAGCGGGTCCGCCCTCTAAACCCTAGCCCGAGGACAACAGGGGTGGGTCAAAGACTAAAAAAATGCAATATAAGTCAGTAACGGCGAATAGGTACAAAGGCCTCGGCACAACATCCAAAAAACTATAGTACCACTTCTTCTTTAATTTTAAATAATGAGCTCGTAATCCTACATGATGTGTTCTAGTCTACAGCTATTGTGAAGATATCACCACGCATCTTCCTACCCTCCAAAGATTGCAGATTTAGGTGTGTAAGATGTGTTTTATACTAAAATCTAATACACCTTCTAAAACAAACAAACTAAAGCAAACTCAAATTGCGGACGTATAAAATATATGTATTGCAAATCTTGATAAAAGTAATCGTGTTAGGCTCTTGGGAAGATCTATAAATCATATAAATTAATTGGTTACATTTTCTTACAATTTTGAATACATGGGCACTTCACTTCAACGAATCTTATCTTGGTAACGTCAAGTCAGTTATACTGTGACGCATTAATTAGATAGTGACCTTCATTTGTGAAATGTAATTTAGAGCTGTTTGAGTATATGCGTCACACAACATTTGGAGTAATAGGAACGATTAATGTAAAGTCAAGCTTCAAGCCATCGGCATAGAAAAGCGATCCAGTTGCATAGTTGCTTGTAAGGACCGATACTGAAAATAAGAGAGAACCCAGGACTTAAACTTAAAACGTTTTATTGCTCAGAGTGATAGTTACCAACACGTACTGGAAATTGCCTGTTACTAAGGATATCTAGTAATTTTCCATGTGCTTCAATATATTCCAGCCTACACAACAATTTTCATATTGGTACGTTATCAAAAATATGCAAAAATGTAAATAAATTATATCCAGAGGTTCACTAGAATCCATATATAATGTTTAAAATTTAGAACCTGAAGCAAATTGGATACCACAGATGTTCCGGGTAAGAAACCATATTGAATAGTTGGTATGAAGTTCCATTAACTTTCAAGGAACAGATATGAGACTAATAGGTCTGTAATTGCTGCTACAACGTTTAACGCCCTTTTTATAATGGATGTAATAGATGCGATCTTAGAGTCATCAGATAATACTCCACAATCCATAGTAGATTTGTACATAATATGACTTAAAGGTATAGGCACACTATATGCACATCTGGACTAACTGAATGGCTTGACTTGGTCTGTACGAGTCTGTAAGAGTTCATGTGCAGTTTAACCAATTACACGATTCCAAGTGTTGGAAAAATATTATCGATGACTGGGCAGCTCTATGACTTAGATGTGTGGAAGAATTAATACTTGGATCAACAGAATTTGTTTAAAAAAATGCACCAACGAACCGATTTTTAAAATTGGATATGGCATTCCATGAGAAACAAGTCAATCTATTAGAGCAGGTTCAATGAATTATGTAGATAAGTTTCCAGTGTCTTCGGTCTTCACTATGAAGCTTTTTATTGATTGAGTTCTTCTTGTAAACTTTAAGTATTTTCATGGAAGTGAATATAAGGTACCTATAACATTTGTAATGGAATTAATTTTAGCTACGCCATAATTCATCAAGATGACTGTAATCCGTACAATCTTGGAACCAGTTTAAACTTTTAATCATGGCAACATAATTCGCATTTAAAAATTGAAAATCAGTTTATTTACTTAGAGGCACATAGTAAGTAAACCATAAAAAGAAGTGAACCTATGCTAGTATCGATAGTCAGAAAAGAAAAGGTAGTGAGAAGAGTAGTAAGATTGTTAATGTTAGTGAATATAAGATCCACACTTTCCTGATTGGAACGACATTTAATAAATTCGGAGACACGTTGGTGAACGCCAGAATTTAAAAGCTAAATATTCACTTGTCATTGTCATGATTTTTGAACTTTTAACCATCAACGGTGCACTCTGTGAAAAAAAGGCACAAAGTTATTATTTAGAACTGGTAATAGTAGTGGTAATACTATGACGAAACTGGACTATAACCAAATTTGAAATGTATGTCTTTGATGGATTTAAAACTGCATTCTATTTCCAGTCTCTGAAAGAAAGCTCTTAGGAAACCTCTATGTTTAAAATTTTACTCTTGATTTTTTGTTTGTATTGACGAATCAGCTCCCAGAAGTTGTCACAACATCGCTGTTATACCATATTTAAGTACATCGTTTTCAAGTTGTTATCCTTTGGCTAAAATAAAAAAAATAAGCCACGGAATAACAACTCAGAAAACCATGATACTTTAAATATGCATTAGTATAAAAGCCTTAAAAATTTCGTTTGAAACATTCGTAGTGCGGTCAATATTTTTTACTAACTTTTACATTTCTAGTGAACATAATACAGAGACATACTATGCACATAGGTATACCACGTTACTTGTGCAAAATTGTAAATTATCAGCATAAAAATAAATTAAAAACCAAAAATATTAATCTTATTTCATTGTTGTAGGTACTTTAATTTATAGATTAAGAGGATATGATGCGGACGGAGATCCATTGAAATTTGGAGTGCGATCGTCTCCAGGAAGTGATGTAATAAGAGTCGAGAACAGTTCACCCTCGGAAGCGAACGTCTACCTTAACAAAGAACTTGACAGAGAGGTACGTTATACAACGTGAATTTATATTTCTCATTAGGAATTAAAAATTATCCGAACGATTATATAGAAGTCATAAAATGTTCACTACACAGCTATTATAACTGTGAAATAGGTATCAAGACTTCTATGTTTCAGACAGAACAATAATATTAAGAAACGTATTTTCTCATACAAATAAAAGCACTGAATACAATCTTTAGAAAGTATACTCAAAAGCTAAAAATATAAGAAATAATTTAAAATTTAGCGATAACCACCTTAAAAATATACACTCGACATACGCCAGGATATTTTAAAATAGAAAAAGTACAAAATTAATCAAAACGCATTTCAAGACTATGAGAAAAATTTCCAATAAATTGCATCATTCCTGAAATATACGAAACAGTTTGAACAATTTATATACCTAGTTTAAATTTTATTTAATATCGTCTAATTGCCTTTGTATGGCTGTTTTGCAGTTGTCTGTAATAATACACTAAAATTGTGTTTTTAATAGTAACCATGATGTTTCAATAAATTATGAAATTGTCGGTTTCTGACTTAATATATATAGTTGCATGACTCAAAGATGGTAATATCAATGAAATAACCAATGATTTAATTTAACATTCAGTATTGTCAAAATGAGAATCCAATAAGGCATCTATATGAAAATTAACTGCGAAAATATTTTAATATTTTTAATGTGTAGGGTAAATCGATTTATGAGGACCTTTCCACCATCTTCGGTAATAAAATAGATAGAAAGAAACATAAAGACCTGTTTAGTCTTTTTAGGATACTTCAAGAACAACACCATATCACTCCTAATTTAGAAAATTCTAATAACATATTTTTCAAAACAAATCTACTTGGGATAATTTATATTTATATTTTATGCACAATTTACAATAAAATTTTACGATGGAGAACAATGCTTACGAAATGCAATCCAAATCTGAGCTTACTGTAAGTCTGCAACCCACAATGCTCCTCTGTGTTGTTGTCAAACGATCAAACTTTGTTATTGGTACACAGGATTATTGTATGCTTTCTAAGATTCTATTATTTTTTTTTTAATTTTTCGCACTTCACGTCAATAATATTCCCAGTCTTTATACAGTAAGCTTGCAATAAACTTTCAGGGCTAATTCAGCTCATTAAAATGATTCCTAAGGGTTCTATGATTCTTCAAAATTTAAAATTGCAGCACAATTGTTATCTCGTTTGGCTTGATAGAAAATATGTACTTAGTTCGGTGTAGTTTTATCATAGTAACTTAAAAAATGTTTGTTCATAAAAATTTGCAAATTTGGTTGGATCATATTCAAATCGTTTGTGTCTAAATGTAGTAAAAACTCGACAGATTATTGATAAAAAGTTGCTCCAGCTTCTCAGCGTAATTATGGAATTTATCCATATAGCTAACTTCAATATAAATGCGACTTTATAAACAATACATTTATTTTACAAAAGATATTCAAAAGGTATCCAAACACGAAAGATTTTTAGTGGAAAGGGTCCACCCAAATCTAATATAAGATTTACTTTAATGACAAATCATTTTTTCTGACAGTTGAAACTTTGAATTGCCTTCTAGTACTTTTTCAAAATTTACATAGAGGGAAATAAATGAGTAAATCACTGCACCAAATTTTAATATTTTCAATGTTTCTGGAGGAATTTAAAAAAACACGAGCATTTGAAAGCTGATCAAGCTCTTCTCATCAACCCTAAAGTCGCATACACATTCTTAAAAAAAATAATAATAATTAATATCTTGTTCTTCTAATTTAAATAATTTTATGTGCAAGGTTATAAGACATCCTTCTATTTAGCTGACATGTTTTCAATTTCAGGAACGAGACGAATATGCTTTAGTTTTAACATTAACTGATAGCCATCTGGGTCATGGCAATTACATTACTCAAAGTCTGCTATTACTAGTCGAAGATGTCAACGATAATACGCCAATATTTAAGAATCACCAGCCATCTATTAGCCTGCCGGAAGATACTGAACCTCGAACAATTGCAACCCTCGAAGCTACCGATGCCGATGAAGGACCTTACGGTCAAGTGGTGTACCACTTGCAAGAGATGGACCCTGACAAACCACTTTTTTCAGTAAGCACAGTGGGCGAAAAAGCTGTGGTGCGTCTAATAGGTAATACCCATTTATTATATATACCTACTAATGACTTACGCTTAATTATTGCTGTTCATGTTATTCATCTTCATTTTAGAGCTTTATTTGCTATATTAATTTGTTTCTTCTTCCTTTTCTTTATTAATATTGTAATAAATTCTTGGTTTATCATTAATTGTCACATCTGGATTCCTAAGAGACTATAGATCTAATCACAGATTTTCTTCATCTTTCCGAAATTCTGCATTTGCATTAAAAAAAAATTAAATCGAACTATACATTCCTGTAGATTGGTTTCAAAAATTTGATGATACATAAATAATAAGAAAAACGAATACCTAATCAGCTTTCTTATCCTCACATATTTTCTGTTTTTACAGGAGCTCTGGATTATGAAAGACAAACTGTTCATCAACTAAAAATTTTAGCAATTGACAGAGCCAAAGAAGGTAGAGTAAATACTGGTACAGCGGCCATTTTAGTGAAGGTCGAGGATGTAGAAGATCAACCTCCAGAATTTGTCAGAGTCACACCAGTTGCTAGAATTGAGGAAAACAGTCCAATTGGTACATCGGTATTACAAGGTACATAGTTACTAAATTCTAATATTGTATGGATATAAAATTATTTGAATCTCAATAATAATATTTAATTTTCTATCTTTGTTTTCTAGATGGTTTGCCTAGATTAAATTAATGATAAAATTAAACATTTTTTATTAAATCATGTTTCAAATCTGAATCTGTTTATTTAACAGCATGAGATGTAATGTGTAACATGTGACACACAATACTGTACCATTAACTGATTCAATAAATATTTGTTTATGAAACAAATTTTTCAAGAATTACATTATTTTCAGTCACAGCAGTAGATGGTGATCGAGGAGTAAATAATAAAATACATTATTCTCTTACTTCTAACACTTTAGGAAGGATTTCCGACATATTTGAAATAGAAAATGATACTGGAATTGTTTACACAGCGAGCATTTTGGACAGAGAACAATTGCCAATTAGTTCAGGGACATACATTCTTCAGATAACGGTAATTCTATTTTTGACTGAAACTACTTCTCACTGGTGTTATGATTTCTTCATCATTAGTCTGCTTATTAGGCAACTGAAGTTGGTAGCAGAATAAAACCACCCCTTACCGCTACCACAGAAGTAACAGTGATGGTCACTGATATTAACGATGAAACTCCAAAATTCTTCAGTGACTACTACGAATGTGAAATAGCTGAAAATGCTCCCATAAACACACCTCTTACGTTTCTAGGAAATACTCTCCCGGAAGTATATGATAACGATCAGGTATATAACTTTTCTTTGTTCGTAACCCATTAAAATAATGCACCACAATATTTTATAGGGTATCAATGGTACTTTCCAATTATACGTCAAAGGCGCTGGTGATACTTTTGACATAAGTCCAAGCAAAGTTGTAAACGAAGCTAACTTTATTATTCGTGTTAAAAACAGTACAATTTTGGACTATGAGAGAACGAAAATGATAAACCTTACTATAGTGGCCAAAGAAATTGTTAAACATAATCCAAAATTCAGTGAGATACCCGTTACTGTTTACATATTAGACCGAAATGATAATTTTCCTGAATTTACTAAGAGTATCTACGAGGTTCTTGTACCAGAGAATTGCGATGTTGGAACTACTGTAGCTTGGATTCAAGCTCTTGATGATGATTCTGGAAATTTCGGTACACGAGGTATCAGATATACAAATATAGCAGGAAGTATTGACTACATGTATGTTAAAAATTAGTATTAAATATTCCCAATTCAATATATTAACATTTCTAGGCTAAACTTGCATCCTACATCAGGCATAATAACTGTGAAAACTGCTGGTGGACCAAATTGGGATCGAGAACAGGTATCCCGACATTACCTGACAGTAGAAGCCAGAGACGATCTTGGACGTGGTAACAGAAATTCAGTCCAGTTGATTATCAATATTGAAGACGTTAATGATAATGCTCCGTTGTTTACGCAAAGTAAATATGAAGCACGTCTTTTAGAAAACAAAATGGATTTTGAGCATCCTTTGAAAACTGAAGCAAGGGATGCTGACTTAAACGGTAAAATTTAAATGTTAATATAATTAGAACAATTTACTATACATGAAAACATGTTTTGTGTAGGTACAAAAAACAGTGAAATTGAATACATCGTTTTTGGAGAGTGGAAGCAAAACTTCACAATTGATAGTATTACGGGAGTAATAAAACCAAAGCATCCTATAGACTTTGAAAGATTAAACGGTTCAGTATCTGAAAATATTAGAACTTTGTTTTTAACCGTACGAGCAAGAGATTGGGGAAGACCTAGTCTGTTTAGTGATGCTCCATTTTTTGTATATGTAGAAGATGTCAATGATCATTCTCCCATGTTTGAAGCAGTATATTATAATAAGTCGATACCAGAAATTTTAACAGGAGGAACTTCCATACTTCAGGTAAACTATAATGTCCATACTGAACATAATCTTAAATAAATAAATATCGCATTAAATATTATTTTTTAAAACTGCTAGGTTAAAGCATATGACCTAGATGGATCGTCACCAAATAATCACGTAGTATATAGAATCCAGAAAGGAGCAGCTGATAAATTTGTTATTGGAGCAGAAACTGGTATCATATCTATTGCCCATGGAGCATCCTTAGATCCAGATCTTACTCAACCACGAAGAATGCACTATTCACTAAATGTATTAGCTATAGACGGAGCTCCAGGAAATAGCCAGCTTCAAGCAGCTGTAACTGTTAATATTACGATTTTGGATGTAAATAACAAAAATCCAATAATTTACGAAAGTGGAATAGTCACTGTTCAGGAAAATGCACCTGTAAGTACAACGATATACAGGGTGTCCGGAAATACCGTTCGAATAATTCTAGGGGTGATTGTACATGTTAAGCTATGAAGAAAAGTTGATATGAACATAGGTCCGCAAATGCGTCATAAGGTTGCTATGGCGATTCAAAGATTGCACCGGGATATAGGTTTTATTTTATATCTCTGGAACCGTTTCAGATAGCCATCTGAATTTTGGCATATGAATTGCCTTTAATAGTAGGTACTTTTCAGTGTTTTTACTAAATTATTATTTTAATCAGGGGCGTACCGACAGGGGAGGCCTCGATTTAATTTGTTCACATTTTTATTAAACGTATTTTTGCAGTTTTCTTTAGAAATTCTGATTGCGCGGTATATATGACATAAAAAAGGTATTCTTGTAGAAAACCTGTCAGGTATTGTTAAATAGTGATAAAAAAGAAACGGTAAATGGAAAACAGATTTATAATTAAAAAAAAACAGGGAACAATACAGAAACAAATAATACTAGTGACTTATTATTAAACCTGAATGTTACTTCTTTAGTAACAGCAAGTGTTGGAAGTGATGTTCATTCATTTCAATGCAACTGGCTAAACGATTTCTCATTGAACGTTTAACTCGTTGAAAAACACCCTGCATATTCCGTATTTCTTGGCAACAATGAATGACTCTTTGTTCCAGTTGTTGTACACTGTCAACAATCACTGAATAAACTAAGTGTTTTAAATAACCCCATAGAAAATAGTCTAACGGATTAAGATCCGGCGAACGGGGAGGCCAAGCTATGGGTCCACCTCGTCCAATCCACCGATCTGGATAAGTCTGATTTAGATATTGTCGAACTAATAAACTGAAGTGGGCTGGAGCCCCATCGTGCATAAAAAATGTTTCTAATCTTAATCCATAAGGCAAATCTTCGAGCAAAACTGGTAAAGTGTTTTGTAGAAAATGTAAGTATGCGGGCCCATCTAAACGATGCGGCATAACATATGGTCCTAGTAACCTATTTCCTATAATACCTGCCCAAACATTAATGGAAAACTTATCTTGGAATCGAGCTTCGAAAATCGCGTGAGGATTTTCATCTGACCAAATATGATTGTTATGAAAATTTACCACTCCTTCACGCGTAAATCCTGCCTCGTCTGTAAACAAGACTTTATCGAGGAAATGACGGTCCTGATGGCATTTCATCTGCATCCACTGACAAAACTCCACTCTAGGCAAAAAATCCCGAGGTTTTAGCGCTTGAATTCTTTGCAAATGGTATGGATACAAAAGTTCCTCGTGTAAAATTTCCCATACAACACTTTTGGGAATATTCGTTTGTACTGAAATTCTTCTGGTGCTACTACCTGGATTAGCTTCAATCTGTTGTAGAACAATTTCCTCTGTCTGCGCCGTTCGGGTAGTACGGTTTCGTCCACAATCTCTCTTATTTGGCGTAAAATTACCAGTTTCTCTTAATCTCTGATGTAAACTGCTGAACAGTTTATCAGAAGGAAGCTGGCGATTTGGAAAAGTTTCTTGGTACAACCTCCGAGCTTCCAAAGCACAACCGTTTGCTTTGCCATACATGAAGTGCATGTCGGCCATTTCAGCAAAAGAGTATTCCGGCATTTTTTGAAAGACGAGAACAATGATTTTTTTCAATTACACTGTTATTAACACAATAATAATCGAATAAACTTTATTTTTAAACCTTATGTCAAATTCGTTTACCGTAACTACAGTAATTTGACCTTTTTCCATTTTCAACTTAGCACCGACATAAGCCTACTTTGATGTAGAAATTTTTATTATTGGGCGACCATGCATGCACTATTTTCTTTGGAGAGTATTTTCTCGAAAACGGCTAGCCTGACAGGTTTTCTACAAGAATACCTTTTTTATGTCATTTATACCGCGGAATCAGAATTTCTAAAGAAAACTGCAAAAATATGACGTTTAATAAAAATGTGAACAAATTAAATCGAGGCCTCCCCTGTCGGTACGCCCCTGATTAAAATAATAATTTAGTAAAAACACTGAAAAGTACCTACTATTAAAGGCAATTCATATGCCAAAATTCAGATGGCTATCTGAAACGGTTCCAGAGATATAAAATAAAACCTATATCCCGGTGCAATCTTTGAATCGCCATAGCAACCTTATGACGCATTTGCGGACCTATGTTCATATGAACTTTTCTTCATAGTTTAACATGTAGAATCACCCCTAGAATTATTCGAACGGTATTTCCGGACACCCTGTATAATTTAAAAACCAATTGAAATGTAATTTTCTATTGACTTCCCCATAAAATTTATTTTACAAACTCATTTCTGAAAAATGCAGTTTTAGATGTAATATTATTTTACGTACACATACTTCACGAAGTCGGCTATAATCGGACGTGAAGTAACGTCCGATTATACGTATTCGTATATTTCACAGACGTGAAATATTTGCATACGTAAAATACGACATTTAAATACTAACGTCAAAACGAAAATATTGAATAAAGGTCACTAGAAATAACCAAAATTGGCCAATAAATTAGAACCAGTTATATTGGCTCCAACATTTTGATCACATATAAAAATATGACATCAAATATAATCAATTTCTAGGATCAAAAAGTAAATGAAAACAAGTTTTACATTAGTTTTTTCTCAGGTCATATTCTTACTGTTATATTAATTTGACATTTGTGGAAACATATTTCTGTTCACAAATTACTTACTGAAAAATTATTTGTATCTATAAATTGCTAAGTAGTCAATAATTTTTTATTAAAACGTCTAAATACATTTTTCATTTATCTTTAGGTAGGAACAGTTATTACTAAAATAAACGCAAAAGACTTGGATACCACAGCTAAGCTCATTTATAGAATTGACCTGAATGCGTGCTATGCAAAGAACGAAAGGGGAATTGTATTAAAACCCTTGGATTATGACTGTGCAAGTACTTTCCATTTAGACCGGCCTACAGGGATTTTATCAATTGCTAAACGTCTAGATCGTGAAACCGTAGAAACTTTCCAAGTTGGAATAATTGTGGAAGATATTAATTCTGAAACTGGACCTCAAATCGCAACTTGTAAGAATATTTAAACAGGTGCAGAAACATAAAAAATGTCATAGGTTTTTATTTTAGCAACCATTACTATTAATGTAGAGGATGTCAATGATAACAGCCCTAAGTTTAAAGAACCGTTTTATAAATTCAGCGTTGCAGAGAATAGCAAGCACGGTATTTTAGTGGGTTCCATAGCTGCTGATGATTTGGACAAGAACAAGAGTATCACTTACATTTTAGATGGTACTTTTGAAATAGCATCTCTCATCCATTTAGATCCTGATAACGGTGATATTGTAGTTGCTAGTAAAATCGATCATGAAATTCATAAATGGTTAAACCTAACGGTATTATATTTCCCAAAATTGTAGAATTTATTAAACAATAGCGTTTCTTTAGGTGAGAGCCTTGGATTCGGGTAATCCTCCTAGATCTTCAAGAGTTGAATTGTTTATACAAGTCTTGGACGAAAATGATAACAATCCTTATTTCCTTACTGAGCCCAAATCCATTAAGGTACCAGAAGACACTCCGCCAGGGACAGAAGTTGCTAAATTAGAAGCATTAGATTCAGATTCGGGAGAGTTTGGAAAAATTACTTACCTTCTCGATAGATTATCATCGGAAGGCAAGTTTAGTTTGGACGCCGATACCGGAATATTGAAGGTGGCTGACAAATTGGACAGAGAGGAAAAAGCTAATTACTTATTAGTAATAGAAGCTTGGGATAATTATCAGTACGGATTTAACAGCGGTGAAAGCAGGAATGCCTTTAAACATATAAAGTAAGTGAGCTTCTCTGTTATGAAATAAATTCACAAAATATCCATTTCAGTGTTACAATTTTGGACGTAAACGACAACGCACCTCTTTTACACGTCCCTTCATACTGTGTGAATATTACAGAATTTCATGAAATTGGTCGATCAGTTACGACAGTTCATGCTTCAGATGTTGATGATCCCAACACATCTAATGGACAGGTAAAAAAAATATGTTTTTATGAAGAACTTACTTTTTATCAATTAATTTTATTTGTTTTATAATAATAATATAATAATTCTACTTGCAGGTAATTATTGATATAGCTGATGGGAATCAGAAAAACCTCTTTGACCTAGAACAAATTAATGAATGGTCGGCGGATATCAAAACAACCACGTCTCTAAGGGGTCGACATGGTAATTACACTTTGGTTATGAGAGCGCAAGATTTAGGAATGCCTAGCCATTTAGTGGAAGAACCAATACGAATTTGTGTTACTGATTACAATGACCATCCACCAGTGTTTGTCAGTCCGCCTCATAATTCTACTTTGAGAATTCCAGAGGTTAGTAAATTGCCTGTATTTAAAGATTCAATTTGTTATTACATCAATTTAATTATTATTATTTTTTACTTTGTCTACTTGGTTTGTTATTTTTCTGTTATATTAATTTCCGACTTCTATAACTTATATGCATAATTATTTTTTCAGTCCATTTTCACAATGCCTTTAATTTTTCATTACTAGTTTGTCTATTTACTGTTCTTAATGAACAATTTTTATTTATCTTATTAGCTACTTATTTCGTCTATACGTACGAATAAATTTCTGTTACAGAATGCAACCGTTGGAAGTGCCCTTATTCAAATTTTAGCTACAGATGAAGACGTTGGTCCCAATGGGGCAATACGGTATAGACTTAAAGCTGATCCAGCCGGACATTGGAAATTTTTTCACCTGCAACCTGTATCTGGGATATTAGAGTTGAGATTGCCATTAAACAGAAAGAAGCAAAAAATATATGATGTAAATAGAGCACCACAGATAAAGTTTTTAATAATAATTTATTGTGTTTTCAGATACGTATAGAAGCTTATGACTTAGGTGTTCCAACACCCTTAAGTTCTGATTTAGATTTAACAGTGTACGTCAGTAACATAAATGACTATCAACCACAGTTTTTATTAGATGAGTTCACGGTGAATTTCACAGGTTAGTACAAATAGTTCTTGTACTAAAAGGATGTACCTGAAAGGTCTGTGCAATATAATTATGAAATATTAATTTTTTGAATTATTAGGGACATGTCTTTTCAATTAAACACATATAAAGTACATATCGCTTCTCCGGAAGAACAATGACGTAAACTTCAAATTTCTGTCAGGAAGAACAATAACGTAACTTCAAATTTCTGTTTATAATAATCCCAACACATTTTTTATTTAACACATTCTATAATGTTCCTCCAGAGAAGCGATATTATGTATTTTACTTTTATCCTGTACTTTTTGATGCATTTAATAAAAATCTAATCATTGATGCATGATTTTACAAAATTGGTAAGATTATGAAAAAAAAAACAATTCTATTTATGTTTTCAATTCTCTATACAGAGAGTAGTCCTAAATTGTTCATCACCTGTTTCTTAGGACAGTTAATACGTAATAAAATAAGGATGTCTCCCTTAAACAACTTCTTTCTAAAAATGGTAATAAAGGAGGTATAGACATCTCAGAAATGGAAAGGATGAACATCCTGCTTTTGAAACTTCTTAAAAATTTTGTTATTCTTACTTTAAGCTAGTACATATTATTAGGCAACACATGACACAAGTATATATCTAAAATACCTAGGTCTAGGTTTTTAAATGGTGCTAAAAAATATGATTGTAAATTTATCATCTCTTCTCTTATCTATTTCCGGAAAAAAGTGTGTATGAAATGACACCCTTATTATAAGAATGTACTATTAGCTCACAAAAAAAAATTGCATTATTAGATTAAAGAAAACAACTATATTTTAGAAAACGAACTACCAAATCGTGAGATTAAAAGACTACCGGACACCATTGATAGAGATGAATTTGAATTTGATGGCCCACCAGTTCCTATCTGCTATTATATTATAGGTGGCAATGAAAATGGACTGTTTTATTTGAACTCATTGGATCACACATTAATGGTACAAATATTACATTAGTTAAAATTTCTGGTTAGTAATTAAACATTTTTTTTTAGGTTACCAGACCACTAGATAGAGAGCAACAAGACACACATCTGTTACTCGTCAAAGCATCTGAAGATTGTTCCAGAATTCCCAGAAATGAAAGTTTTTTTGATTCCAACGATGACACTCAGTTGAAAGTAGTAGTTAAAGTAATAGATGTAAACGATAATGCTCCTAAATTTACTCACAGAATCTTTACTGGAGGCGTTAGTACAGCCACCAGTTTTGGTACAAAATTCATGCATGTCAGAGCAGAAGACGCGGATATAGAGAAAAATGCTGTTATATCGTATTATTTAATTGGAAGGATACAAATGACGTTAACGGAAGGCTTGGAAAATCTACAAAGATTGCCATTTTTAGTGGAAAAAGAGACGGGCGCCGTACAGCTGAACTTTGATCCCCAGCAAGGAATGAAAGGATATTTTGATTTTATGGTTAGACATTTATACTTTTTTCTGATTAAACAGTTCTCGAACTGATTGTTTACGTGTAGTCTTTCTGGGAGCCCGAAGATCTCCTTGGGTTAGGACAAATAATTTTATATGAACGTTGACAGTTGACGTAACATTTATTTATATGTTTCCTAGATACAGTTACTTGTACTTAAGCTGATAGGCACAACAACTTAGTACATGTTTAAAGTTAACAATTACAACAATATAAGAATAAAATTCATTAAAATAATTAATACAAACTCAAAATGAATGGAGGCGAACCGCAAAACTGATTGCTAAGTCATTGGTTTAGATTTTCTGGAGTTTCCAGAAACATATTACTATTTTCTTCATAAAATATTCCAATTCCGGAGATTAAGGGCTGGTTCATATTAAATTTGCAATTTTTATGGTATGAAAATGGCAAGCATATCTAAAAAAAGTTCAAATAATTTAAACTTCTTTTATGGATTTGTGACAAAATTCAGAACTGACAAATAATTAGGGTTATATGTCATACAATTCACGGTTATATGTCATACAATTCTCGGAATATGAAAATAAATAATTTTTCCAAAAACTCGAGTTTACTACGATCCATATTGCATGCTACAATTAAAAACAATAGTAAAAATTTGGTAAAAATAATTCTTCGCCCTTATATGAACAACAACATTTCGTACAAACACTACTGTTGCTATTTCGTAAAAATATATTCTCATTCATTCTAAATAAACCAGCTATAAGTTCTCTCATCGATATTTATATCGGATGTCCCAATATTCACCCAAGATTTAAATTTTACGCTATTGATGTGGTAAAGTGTTGCGAAGGAAAAAAAAGACAGCTTGTCATCTGACAGTTCGCGGTTATTAAAAATGGAGCATTACACGAAAGAACAACGCGTTTTCATTGTTGAGCGCAGTTTTCCTACAAAATATGGTTGGAATAGTGATTTAACTTCATCAACTGTGAAGAGATTAATGGAAAAATTTAGGGAGACTGGATCAATTAATGATCTACACTCTGGCCGTCCTACAACAAGTTTTTCAATACAAAACATCGAAGCAGTTCGTGTGAGTATTGCTGAGAGTTCAGGAATATCAATTCGACCCCGTGGTCAAGAATTGGACATTTCGAGAAGCTCTCTACAGCGTATTCTCAAGATTTACATCTTCATTCAAGTTCAATTGACTCAAGAGTTGAAGACTACTGATCACGCAGAACAAAGAGAGTTTGTTGAATAGATTATGGAACAACAAGTGGATGATGATTTCTCGAACAAAATCATATTCAGTGATGAGGGTCATTTTCATCTTGGTGGGTTCGTTAATTGATGAAACTATCACTTGTGGTTCAGAAAATCCACAAGGGATGGTTGAGAAACAACTGCACCCTCAATGTGTTACTGTTTGGTGCGGATTTGGGGCTGGGGATCTCATCGGACCAGTCTTCTGTGACTGATCAGGCAATAACGTTAATCCAGTTTTTTATGCCTAAAATGCAAGATATAGTAGACGACATGTGGTTTCAACAAGACGCTGCTATATGCCGTACAACCGACAAACAGATCAATTACTGCATGAGTTATTTCCCAGTCGTGTAATTTTGTGTGATTATTTGTGATCAAAATTTGGCCGCCCAGATCATACGAATTAACGCCATTGGTGTTTTTTGAAGTCTAAGGTTTATACCAACAAGCCCACAACCACCCACGCCTTGAAGGAGGAAATTATCAACGAAATTCAGCCGCATTCATGTAAAACGGTCATAAAAAATTTCGACAAAAGAGTGAGCCATCAAAGCCGTGGAGTCATTTATCCGATATACTATTCCATACATAACCCAATACTGTATACCTTATGAATAAATAAAAAATTTACAATTTTTAATTAAAAATCTGTTTCCCTTTAATATTACTTGTTGCGTAATTTTGCGACATCCTTTATTTACTGTGTAGTCCTGGTGAATGCCTTGAAGCCACAATTATTTTATTTTTTTCTGGACTTCTATTTTTTCTCTATTCAACCTTTACCAAAGTTTTCATTTTCTTATTAGAACTTTGGTATTAGTTTGGTATTAGATCTTTTAAGTTTCTTCTTCTTCTTTAGTAAGTTTTTAAGTTTTCCGGATCTGTTTTTTTGCTCACCAACTCTAACTTTTATCCCTTGTTATTTTCTAGAATCGTTCCTTTAACTTCCTGCTAAGGTAACTCTAAAGTATACAATGAAGACACGTTAGCATAAGGTTGAATTAATACAAATGTCATTCAAGAAGTAACAAAGGTAATGTTTTGAAATTGAATTTATTTTATGAAAATGCGATTATACAATATAAATTCAAAATCCGTAATTACTTGTAATTTAGAATTTTCTTCTCTCTACCTATATCTTAATACTCGGCCGATTAAAAAAAATATTCTTATGTAGCTCAAACCCTTAAACACAGGATTGTAACAAACTATCAGAATTCGGGTTGACAAAAGCTTGTATTATGTGTATAAGTGAAAATAATAGCCTTGTCACTAAATGCATATACCAATTACAATTGAACTTAGGTGAACGCTTAGTCACGAACAAAGTAGGCAATATGTTGCGAACATTTCTAGGCGCTTTATGTTCGATTGGTTATTACAGTCAAAGCCATTGATGTCACACGCCTTGAATTTTTCAATTGCAATTTTTTCAATGTGCTTTCCAATCACATAAAAAATTAGGGAAAAAAACAGTTGTTTAAACTAAAAAAAATGTGTGAATCACGCTTATTATAGAGAACTATTTCTAGAACTAAGACATATTACTTTGTAGGTCTTAGCTAATGATACTGGAGGTTTACAAGACATGGCAAGGGTTTTTATATATCTTCTTCGAGAAGACCAAAGAGTCCGTTTTGTATTGCGACAGCATCCTCCAGAATTGAGAAGTCGCATAGAGGCATTCAGAGAGTAAATATAATATTTGCTCAAAATCCACCATCGACTAATTAAATTTTTTAGGGTTCTAGGTAACGTTACTGGAGCAATCGTTAATATTGACGAGTTTCGTGTTCATGCCAATCATGATGGCACAGTGGATAAAACAAGAACGGATTTGTACTTACACTTGGTAAACCGAAATGATAATTCTATTTTGGAAGTGGATGAAGTTTTGCGGTTGGTGGATCAAAATACTGAAAAACTAGACGATCTATTTAAGGTTAGATTTTATTTAATATTTTTATGCGTTGCGCGATTAAGTGTAGTTTCTTTACATTATTATACAAAGAAAAAAACTCATCGGTTTGATGATCTTTTACTACATCAAAGCATTTCCATGTAAGAATGAATTTTCCAAAGTCATTACTTGGCGGCTACCTTTTCATTTTATTTCAAGAACATACAGGGTATTCGCAAATTTCATCGACAACGTTTGACTGCACATTCACGACGATAAATAAAGACGATCTACGAAAAAAAGTTAAATAAAAAATTTTTGGTTTTTGATTTGCCAGCCTTCAAATTTGTCAAAAATAAAACTAATTTAGTTAATAACTTCATAACCCTTTTATCGATCGCGTTAAAATTTGGTACATTTATTTGGACCATTGTTGCAAGCTACAGTCTGGGGGAGTTCCCTACTGTATTCCAAGCAGAAATCTTCGCAATAATGGCGTGTCTGGCAGAGAATGTACGTAGAGGTTATAGACGTAAACTCATATATATATTCTCTGATAGTCAAGCTGCAATTAAAGCTTTAGCCGCACACAAGGTAAGTTCAAAACTGGTGTGGGACTGTTTACAAATGCTAACTGAACTGGCCACCAACAATACAGTCAGACTGTGTTGGGTGCCAGGGCACAAAGGCATTTGTGGAAATGAGAAAGCGGATGAACTTGCGAGGAAGGGATCCGAAACAGTGTTCATTGGCCCGGAGCCCTTCTGTGGCACATCTCCCAGTGTGGTCAGGCGGGCTCTGGGCAAATGGACAGAGACAGAACATAGGAAATACTGGACTTCAAGGCCAGGACATAGCCATTCTAAGGAGCTTATGGAGTATCCTTCGAAGGGAAGAGCGAATGAGCTACTGAGCTTGAATAGAATCCGGCTCAGGAGAGTGACAGGACTCATAACGGGACACTGTCACTTTAAGAAACATCTACATAGACTAAAGCTTGTAGACAGTCCGGTCTGCCGAGGATGTGAATCGGCGGATGAAACTTCTCTGCATATCCTGGGCGAGTGCCCGGGATTTGCACGTAGCAGAATGGCGCTCCTTGGGAGACCCTATTTGGAACCCAAGGAGCTGAGAGAAGTGTCAGCAAGGAAGCTTTTGGACTTTGTAAAAAGGACAAATCTACTTGCTGAATAGGACTAGTAGTGGGACGCACAATAGGCCTAATTAGGCCGCAGCGCTATGGGACTTTTAAAGGACCAACCACTAGATGATGATGATGATGATGATGATGATGGACCATTGTTGCATATTATTTCTTAAAGTTTTAGTCAAATCGATATACTGGGTGATAGTTTTCTCTGGCTACCTCTCGGACCTCTTTGACCGCCAAAAGATCAAAACTTTTACAATGGTCGAATTTTTTTAAAGCGGGCGGCAACATTGAAAAGGTCGTTTTATTTAAAAAAAAATATATTGTCTCTTTAGAAAATCGCCTATATTATATTAATATCGCCATTCTTGAGAAAAATGGCATTACTTATTAGTATATGCGTATGTTTCGGTTTAAAACTTTGAGTTCAGTAGGCGATGAAAACAAGATCTTGATTGTTGTGGCTATCAGGTAATGTGATTATTCTCGTCTCTTTAGTATTCTCATTACTCCACACATGCAAATTATGAAAATTTATAACTCCGTTTAATTGTCTTGATACACTGCGAACACTTCATAATTTGCATGTGTAGAGTGATGAGAACCTAAAGAAATACGACAATAATGACATTCCCTGATAGCCACAGCAATCGACATCTTATTTTCATTGTCTACTGAACTCAAAGTTTTAAATCCGTGACACCGCTATACAAATCGAAACGTACAGACCTGCAAATAATGCCATTTTTCTCTAGAATGGCTTTCTGCAGGCGACTTTTTAAAAGGACACTATTTTTTTAAATAAAACGACCATTTCAATGTTGCTAACCTTTTTAAAAAAATACGACCACTGTAAAAGTTTTGACCGTTAAGAGGGGGAGGTAACCGGAGAAAACTATCACCCAGTATATCGATTTGACTAAAACTTTAAGAATTAATACGCAATAATAGTCCAAATAAATGTACCAAATTTTAACGCGATTGGTAAAAGGGTTATGAAGTTATTAATTAAATTAGTTTTATTTTTGACAACTTTGAAAGCATGTAACTCAAAAACCAAAAGGTTTTTATTTAACTTTTTTTCGTAGATCGTATTTATTTATCGTCGTGAATATGTTGTCAAACGTTGTCGGTGAAATTTGTGGACATCCTGGATATCATAGTCTCAAATATATCATTTGAATGTGCATAAAATTACGTACCTACCTATTATTCAATGAAATAAGGAAACTGAAATCGGACGACTAGTTTTTGTGAAATTTTGTAGTAAATTCAGAATTAATTAACTCAACAACCAAATTATTAATATACTTATTACTTATGTTCTCTGTTCATCTCTTAATAACAATAAAATATATTTTATACCCTCTTAATTGTTTTTTTATCAATTTGGCACATCTTTCCTTAGTGACAAAATATGGGCAATTATTCAAATTTAATATTGATATTGGGGATAAAATGTTTACATCAAATTATATAATGTAGCATTAAGCGCTGCCAAAAAGGTCCATGGCTTGATTACACGTTATATTCCATTCCTTTTTATTTCTTATATTTCTTCTGTAGTCTCTTATTCCCATATACACTAAATTTATATCAACCATTTGTATCCATTTGGTAGGTATGTTGACTGCCTCTTCCTATGCCCAGTATTTCTCCCCTTTTGCCAGTATTTGTTTTCTCACTTTCTCTTCTTCTAATCTTCCTAGATTTCATTCTTTGTGCTCTGACTATATTTGCTATCACTGGCTACCTCAGAGAACCATTAATTAATCATTTGTTCTTCTCTGCCATAGGCATATCCTTGTCTTTCCTCCATGTATTTTCTTCACAACTTTTTTATAAATAGTGTCTTTTTAAGCTTATATATTTCACTTCTATAAGCAATTTTCTTAGTGTAATGTATATATTTGAAGGCGATTTAAAAGCATAGAGCAAAAAAAGATAGGTACTGTTTATCGATTTTTTGTAAATGCTACTTTGGCTACTTAAGCAATAATGTGTAATGAGGAAACAATATTGAGAATAAAATGCTAAATTGAAGTCGCCATTGCTATAGTGGAAAGTTTGAAGTGTTAAAAAAAACTATGATTATAGTAATTTTGATGAGTTTTAAAAAACAATAAACTGCGAACTTTTATTATTGACCACGAAACATTAAATATATGGTTAAAATTTTCAGAAAATATGCCCCTCTGAAGTCATCAGCAACAAGATAAGCTATTGTAAAAGGAACATTTTCATTTCGAATTCTTATTAAGAAATTATTGAATAATCTAGTAGCTATAATGACTCAAAGCCTAGTAAGACCTTAATTGTTGCGAGTATCTTATTACGTATATATTTTGTGATCCCAAATAATTTTGCAACTTCTTTTAAAAATATCTAATTATGTGAAGTAATTCCTTTCTAATTTTAAAATGTTCCAGGAATTCAACGTTTTGGATACGCAACCTGGAGGAACACTTGCGCTCAAATCACAGATGCAAAACGTCAGTGCTACATTTTGGCTTACAGCTTCCTGCCTTTTCCTACTTTTACTTCTGTTTCTGTGCTTAGCTCTGTGTATAAACCAAAGACAAACATACCATAGAAAACTGAAAGCTGCTACCGCGACAGCCTATGGTTCGTTAGAAATCGATAACGTTAAAAAGGTATTTTCATATTAATCTGTTTTAGTGAGTGCAGATTCAGAAATTGATGGCAGAGGGGTCAGTATGATAAGCGGCAGAGTACCCAACACGAATAAACACAGCATGGAAGGAAGCAATCCAATCTGGTTGAGGGCGTATGAAAATGAATGGTACAAAAATGCTGACGAATTCAGGTTGGTATAATACATTAGGTATTAGTACTAGAGGACTAGAGCATCAAGTCTTATTTTCATGTAAAGCGTGTAAACAGTTTTGATACTAATTCGCAATATAAATAATACTTAGTTTTTAAATATAAAGTATCACCCGACTAAATTAAGTTGCAATAATAAAGGTTCTCAAAAGGAACGAGGGATTTGTATTGTGCATCATTTTCATTCCGAACTAGCTTAAAATTTTTACTTTTTTTCTTATAAAAATAAAATTTGTCTTGACCAATGTTGTTTCTAATTTAACAGAAAATTGTAGAAATTGAACCAGTTGTTTTAAACACAAGATATGTTAAACGAGATATATTTCTAATGTATACGTCAGTAATTTGTATAAGATAGAAATATGTGTAAATTATGTTTTGCAATGTTATAACGGCAACAAATACTTTATATTCAAGTTTCTATCTCTTATTCACTTCAACAATTTTTCAAAGATATACAATTTAACAAGAAAATTTATAGGTAATTTCGATAAAAGTTATGGTCGTTTTACATATTCCAATGAAGTATACAATGATCAAACACGGATAATAAGCACGTGGCTTTGAAACTATTGTTTGGCAATCCTCCCGACGAAAACAGACTCGGACATATATATAGTTTTCATTTAATGCATATCATTCGTGGTTAAATTTTGTTGGGATTTTACATTGTTTTGGATTATTTTAAGATGTCGACTGATAAAGTGACAGTAGTATAGTAATTAAAAAAAGTGTTAAAACCAATACCAATCGTGATCTAATAGGCCGTTATTTATTTTCTTTTTGTCATTATTCCAAAGTATAAGCTCCCTCACATTGACCTTATGTCATTTCAAATGTTAACCAACATTGGGCTCTGATTTAAATGAAATAAAAGAATTCGATAGCTTATTTCAAGTGGTAGTACACGAGAAATTATTCAGTATGACAGAAAAATAAAAGTTATTGTCCTTGCCAAAAAATAAAAAAACGGCAAAATTCATATCAAATATATACTTCTATCGTGCTAATAAAGAAAGTACCTAACAAGCGTCTTCCTTTTCGAAATTAGTAAGAGAAGAGTGAAAATACATCTGTAAAATTTTCCAAAATTTAAGGTTCTTTTAATCTCTCTGGCGCACTCTATATCTACTTACAAATCACTACTTTGGTTTCCTAAAATTGATTATGACTATATGAGAGTGAAATATAAATATAAAATGAAGTTGATTATTTCTTTCTTTCAGTCAAACATCAGATCATGATTCACTAGACGAAAATGTTGTTGGTTGTGAAGATTCGACAAATTCTGTCCAGCAAATGCAACAGAATTCTCACAGTTCCAGAAATCAAAACGTATACCAGACGTTGCCTGTACCACCCAACAGGAAACTAGAAACAACGGAATTATGATTAAAAGTTAGAATCAACACCTTTTTTACAATTAGCAGAATTTCTCCTCTGCCGAATTTATCTGAAGAAGAATCGGAAGTAAGAAAATAATTTCCATTGCAACGATTATCTTTATTATGAAAGCTAGTAACAAAAATATCGAAAATATTTACTGCTGGTATAGATATCTTTATGTATCTATCATGTATGTACCATAATGATCACATTAAAGTAGAAATAGGAATTTTCAATTATTCATGTGTACCTACTGTTACATAATATAATTATAGTGTTAGTAAGTTATCTATTACAAAATTATACGTAATTTATTGAAATGCTCATTTAAAAACTAACAACGACACTACTTTAAGTTTTTATGTATTTTTATAAAATGAAAATGATTTGTACATATATACGTACGTATTTATAATAAAAATATAAATAAAAATGTATAATGTTTCATTCATGCAATTTTAAAGCTGAAATTAAATAGGTAACTACGGTATTAGACGACCAGCATTAAATTGGATCATTACATTAATTGAAAACAACATGTTAGTATAAACTAGAAATAATATAATCTGAATGGTTATTGTACATAAATATAAGATATATGTTTACTATACAGGGTGTAACGTAAAGGTTGGGAATAAATTAAACGGTGGATTCTTTAGTTTAAAAAATAAATTTTTGTCATATGAAGTTATGCTCTACGGGTTTTCTTTTCCAAGCTACAGGGCGCTAAAAAATTTCAAAAGATTTAATTTTTCTCCAATAACTTTCGAACAGAAAGAAAATAATAGATTGAAATTTTATCCATAGCTTAATTTGATAATCCCCTAGTAAAAGGAAAAAGATTGGCTTTGTAAGTTACTCAGTGGCGTGCGTGCGTACTATACCGTAAGGTTTTTCGAAGAAAATTGTGGTACGCCACTGGTAAAAACATTTTTTAAATATTTTTTTGTAATCCACATTTTATTTTAAACTAAATTACCCTCTTGTGTTTTATTCCTAGCTCTTGTTATTTTTCCGTAAATAAAACTTTTGTAAATACCTTTTTCCCTCTGCTAACATAGGAAAATGAAAATAACAAAAACATTATGAAGTATGTTTTGACTCAGCTACCGAAAATGGTCAAATAGGCATTAAAAAAAGACTTGTTTATTTTCAAGATGATATTAAAATATCACATTGTTTTAACAATAATAAAAAAACACTTGCGACTTAGGAATTTAAAGAATTTATTGAGTAAGTAATAAGAAGTAATAAACAACAATCAATATTACAAAAGGTGCTGGAAATGTTGCCCCCAATACATTTTTCAATGCACTTTCTCATGGATTCTCTTACTCGTCCAAAAATACCAGACATATCTCGAATTTGCTGACAGCCAATTTCAACTCTTTGACGAAGAATCTGTACATCAGAAATGGGAACGGAATAAACTATGGTTTTTAAGTGCCCCCACACATAATAGTCTAACGGATTAAGTTCGGGAGAACGAGCAGGCCACGCTCTTGGCCTTACACGACCTATCCATTTATTGGGGANTATACAGGGTGTAACGTAAAGGTTGGGAATAAATTAAACGGTGGATTCTTTAGTATAAAAAATAAATTTTTGTCATATGAAGTTATGCTCTACGGGTTTTCTTTTCCAAGCTACAGGGCGCTAAAAAATTTCAAAAGATTTAGTTTTTCTCCAATAACTTTCGAACAGAAAGAAAATAATAGATTGAAATTTTATCCATAGCTTAATTTGATAATCCCCTAGTAAAAGGAAAAAGATTGGCTTTGTAAGTTACTCAGTGGCGTGCGTGCGTACTATACCGTAAGGTTTTTCGAAGAAAATTGTGGTACGCCACTGGTAAAAACATTTTTTAAATATTTTTTTGTAATCCACATTTTATTTTAAACTAAATTACCCTCTTGTGTTTTATTCCTAGCTCTTGTTATTTTTCCGTAAATAAAACTTTTGTAAATACCTTTTTCCCTCTGCTAACATAGGAAAATGAAAATAACAAAAACATTATGAAGTATGTTTTGACTCAGCTACCGAAAATGGTCAAATAGGCATTAAAAAAAGACTTGTTTATTTTCAAGATGATATTAAAATATCACATTGTTTTAACAATAATAAAAAAACACTTGCGATTTAGGAATATAAAGAATTTATTGAGTAAGTAATAAGAAGTAATAAACAACAAACAATATTACAAAAGGTGCTGGAAATGTTGCCCCCAATACATTTTTCAATACACTTTCTCATGGATTCTCTTACTCGTCCAAAAATACCAGACTATCTCGAATTTGCTGACAGCCCATTTCAACTATTTGACGAAGAATCTGTACACCAGAAATGGAAACGGAATTAACTATGTTTTTTAAGTGCCCCCACACATAATAGTCTAATGGATTAAGTTCGGGAGAACGAGCAGGCCACACTCTTGGCCCTCCACGACCTATCCATTCACTGGGGAACGTTTCATTGAGGGCGCCATCATGCATAAACCATATGTTCTGGCGTGTTTCAATTGGAACTTCTTCTAATAAAGGTTGTAATCTGTTTCGAAGAAATCCAGATACGATAAACCGCCTAGTCTGTTTGGTAGTACTATGGGACCAATAAAAAAATCGCCAATTATTCCGGCCCAAATATTAATTGAAAATCGTTGCTGGTGCCGGGATTGTATTATTCCATTCGGAATTTCATCAGCCCATATATGACTATTGTGGAAATTGATTATACCATCCCTTGTAAATCCAGCTTCGTCGGTAAATAAAATGGATGAGTGGAATAACAAGTTTCGATTGCACTTATTTAAAAACTAGGTACAAAATCTAAGACGTGGTGCATAATCTTCGACAGAAAGTGCCTGAACTCTTTGCAGATGGTATGGGTATAACAAATTATCATGCAGGATTCGTTGGACAGTCATATGACTTACTCTCTCCATTCTTCCAATTCTTCTAGTACTTGATTTAATGTCTGAACAAACTTCTAGCACATATTCCTGGGGTCAATATATGATGATCTAATCCAAGTTACATTAGTCCAAAAATGATTCCGAGATACAGGGTATTGAAGTTACAATTTTATTTTCATTTTTCTTCAGTAACTTCATTATTAATTCTAGTAAATACATACAACTTCGTAGAGAAAAGTTTTCTGACATGAGAAATTGTTCTCGAATTTGCTATGAATTATTAGAGGGTGCCACCTCCAGTACCCACATGCATGTAAATTTTCATAACTTCTTCGTGCTCTGGTTTATTGAATTTTTAATAAAAAATTCTTATTCTCTGACGTTTTTTATAAAAAAAGGTAAGCCTGGTAAATGTCGTTTCCAACAACCGTTTTTTGGATATCTGGATTTAAAGGTTTCATTTCATAAATTTGTCATTGCCTAGCTTTGCACTTTATAAAGGCTGATTCAAACTAGTTATATAATTTTGGAGCATGTTTAGATGCCAATGAACCAATAGTAATAAAAAAAAATTAAATACCAATAATAACAACGACAACAGGTACTTATGTAGAAATCAAAGGCGTCAGGAACAATCAAAATTCCAAAAAAAAATTGTGAAGATGAGATGAAAAAGAAGAAATGGAGTACGTTAATTCAATTAACTAAAAGTAGATGTTCAAAATGACTCCCGTTTTCTTGGACACAAAGGTTAACCCGCCGAAGAAAGTTGAACTTAACTCTTCTCACGATATCTGCATACTTCCTTGAAATATGAGAAGAATTTCGTATGCGTCTCCACAACTGTCCTGCGATGTTTATTGAAAGCTCAACTAAAATCTCATACCACAGTCCTTTTATTTAGTAATAGAGAAATAGAAAGGACACAAATAAGAAGCTTGCTATAATAACAAATCTATAGTCATGCAAAACACAGAGTTTGAATTATATTGAGAAAAGCATCAATATGAACAAGCAATACAATTTCAAAGTTGAAGCATCTGATGCCCAAATTCTGGTAAATCCAAGAGCTTCTAACTTAAAAAGTTCTTTTGCCAGAAGAGAAAGAATGCGAAGATCGTTTTGACAAAGTATAATGAGATGAATGAGAGCAATTTACAGTAATATTACATTATAAAGAGAGCAGCATAAGCTTTAGTTGATTCTACTGCTAAACGGAGATTAAAGAACTACCACTAAACTAAACTACTACAAGAACTAAAGAAACCAAAATACATATTCTACTACGCTAAAATATTGAGAACACAAAATTTCTTCACGAATATTTAATATGAAATCCATATGTAGACAACCATCCTCATGGCAAGTTTCGCATTCAGCAAATACTGAGATGGCTTTCAATAATCTGTTAATGGTGTGTTGCATAATTTAAGGAGATTTATTCGCAATCATTTTGCACTTTAAAAACCATTAGTGTTTTAACAATAAACCTGAGAAAATGTACAGACAGATACAAATTAGGTGAAAACCTGAATTCGTTAGCAAAATAGCATTAAACAAAATAGCCCAACAGAAATACAGATTCAATTGCCCTTTTTACAAAATTTCTTTTTTTTGTGTGTGTTTTATAATAGGCTCTAGTATGTTTACTTTATTACAAATGGTATTAAGCTAATTCAAATAAATACAATGTTTTTTTCAATAATTCCTATCAATGAATTCAAACGATATCCTTAGATGCCAAAATATAGGCATGCAAAAGATATACAATCTCATAGTTGACATGTAGCCCATGAGTAAATGTTTTGTTTACTTCTCTAAAATGACGATGTTACTTACATATGGAAAGAGGAAAACGACCGTATTATAAGAAATGAATCTAATATAAAAACATTCGATTGTTTCTCTTAATATTAAAAATCCATAACTTATATCATAAGTACTGACAGAAAAATATAAAAAGCCAAGGTGTTCAAATAAAGAAATATTTAAACGAAAAAATGAAAAAAAAAAGATGACAACGACACGCGGTGTTCCCAAGCGGTCACCCATCCAAGTACTAACCGCGCCCGACGATGCTTGACTTCAGTGATCGGACGAGAACTGGTATTTTACATCGTGGTATGGCCGTTGCCTGCTTCAATTATATGATTTTTAGAATATATGGGAGAAATGATTAACAATAACTGTGTCGCTAAAAAAATATATATAATTTTATGTAATAAAATACTTGTAATAAAAACAAATATTGTAAGAAATCAAATA